TATATATATATATTTGACTAGAAAGTTTTTCGTTTATGTGATTCAATAATATATATACTTAGATGTTGAAGACTGTACTTCATTTTGACGTTTCTTACTATATCTTAATTATATTTTTAAATATGGATTAGTAGTAATTCGATAGGGGTAGTATAAGGTCAAATAAAGATGATCTTTTCCTTTGACTCTAAACAATAGAGATATGTTTACTAAGTTTCGGATTTTGTTATTCCACTGTAAAGGTAAAATGTGAGATAAGATTATGATTGAATGAGGTTTTGAATTATGTCGTGTGAAGGCATTGAAAGATTGCAATTAAAAAAAATAAGGCAAAATTTCATTGGTGTTAATTCAAGTGAAAATTTATTGTACAAAAGTCAATATTTTATTGTGTGTTACTTAAAAATCATCTAAATACAGGTTGATTGCATTCTAATTTTTGTGATTCAAAGATATTCAACTAAAGCTCGATTAGCTCAAAATAAAATAGACCAAAATTTTATATTTTGCATCCAGTACCTCATGCGGCATGTTAATAGATGGTAACTCAACTTATTAAACACTTAGAGTCGTTTGGTATAAATGTATAATGGTAGGTGTCACAGGCGTGATTTATGTCCGTCAAAACCAGCCTGTGCGGCAGCCAAGCCCAACATTTGACTACAGCCTTCTCACAACACTCGGCCAAAATTACAGCAACTTTGGACTTAGAATATGTTTAGGCAGCTTTCAACGTAGTAAGTTTAGGACTGATTTAGACAACGAAATTTAAGTAAGGCAACAAAAAAGAAGAAGAACACAAGGCACAATATACAGGAAACTCTTTTCCCAACTTTGTATTTAATTCGAGCATACAAAGAAACTCAAACTCGAAGTACAACCATGTACAAAAAGATCGCTCTTGACCTTAGGCGTTTTCACTCTTGAAAACAGATTTAGGACTTTCTTAACTCTCAAATGTGCTCCCACGCGTTTTATCTTCTGCCCACAAGCATAAGGATGCTGCCAATTTATAAAACATGAGACAACCCTTTGCTTTACACTTGTCGCACTTAGGCTTCGACACTTGTCCCACACAACCCACTATTTTAGCCTAGTGTAGTTAACATCTCCCAACTACTAGGATCATGTAGATCATGCAAATAATAATGGAAACATGGCCCAAAAAATGTGCTAACAAAATCTGCCAGCTTTTAGCAAAATCCAACTACTGCCCATGTGCGCAACATATGTCGTGTAACCGCCCTTGACTTGGTCAATCTGAAGCTTGTTGTCCATGTGCGTGCCTTGGCTTTAATCATGCGTCAATGCCTTGTACTCAGGTGCATTGTAGCCGCATTTTGCCCATGTCATTGCCCACGCACATGGACCTTTGCCGTGCCTCATTGTCATGACAAGTCTGCCTTGCGCGCATGTCTTTGTTGCGCTTAGCCTACCTTTGCCCACTTCGTTTTTGCCTTGCCTTGGCATAATTGCCTCATGCCTTGATGCCTTTGTCATGATCACGTGTCACCCTCAGCCCACATCTCATTGTCAACCCCTTGCCTCTCTCAAAGCCTTGGTCATCACTTACCTGTTTTCCTTTTTGCCTTGGTGTTATTCGTGCACCTTAGCTTGGCAACACTCTTGCCGCCCCATGACAATGCTCTCGTTGTCAAGTCAAGCTCAGAGAGGCAGAGCCCTAACAAACCAACGCCTCTTGGCCTCCTTTCTCATCAGCCACAATTGCATTTACCCCAGTCACTTGTTTGTCACTGGTCATCGCCTCCAATGCAACTCTCTTATCTGTGGCAGTCATTGCATTCAACACTGCCTTCTTTGGGCAGTTCCTTGCTCGATGTGGCCCATTACAAATGAAACAGCCACTAAACTTGCCGCCCTTCTCCTTGATCTTTGAAGTTTCAGCCTCTTGCTTTCCCTTACCCTTGTCTTCATTAGCATCGTTATTCTCAAATTTCTTCCACTTCTTTGCCTTGTCCTTCTTTCCGTCGTTGGATTTTGAAGTTGAGGTGTCTTCATCCAAGTGAAAATCACCCAATGCATTAGCCACAGCTACATCACTTGCGAGGTTTTGAATATTCTGCCTACGTAACTCCAATTGCACCCACTATTGCAGCCCGCTCATGAAGTTGTGCAATTTGTCTTCTTCCGACATATTGCTGATGCTTAACATTAAAGACGTGAATTCTTTGACATATACTCTAACTGATCCGGTTTGCCTCAAATTTTTCAGTTTGTCACTAGCAATCCAAGACGTAAAGAAGGACAAGGCAAAAAGTGGAAGAAATTTGACAAGGCACACGAATAACATGAAAGTACAGCTCCATATCCCAAAGAAAATTCTCCAATTCACGTGCACTCCTTGCACCACCAAATGCCTTAGGCTCAGAAATTTTTACCTTGAGACGATCATCACCACGTTGAGGAGCATCCTCGCCCACAGCACGTCGCAGCACCACTGTCTCACTTTTCAGATCTGCATTCTCTTGACTCAGCCTTGCCAATTCTGCCTCAAGGTAGGCAAGCTTTGTCACGAGAGTATGAAATTCCTCACCTTCAGGGATATTTATGACCAATGCCTTCAGTTTCGTTAGCCTTCCCCACAGTTCGTTGTTACCACCGGTCATGTTCTCGAGCAAGACTACGAAATCTGCCACTGCCCGTCGTGTTTCCGTCACGAACCTGCTCCGCTCTAATACCAGTGGTCACAGGCGTGATTTCTGTTCGTCAAAACCAACCTGTAAGGCAGCCAAGCCTAGCACTTGACTTCAACCTTCTCACAACACTCGGCCAAAATTATAACAACTTTGGACTTAGAATATTTTTAGGAAGCTTTCAATGCAGTATTTAACTCGAGCATACAAAGAAACTCAAACTCGAAGTACAGCCGTGCACAAAATAATCGCTCTTGACCTTAGACGTTTTCACTCTTGAAAACAGACTTAGGAATCTTTCCTAACTCTCAAATGTGCTCCCACACATTTTTCTCTTCTACCCACAAGCATAAGGATGCTGCCCATTTATAAAACATGAGACATCCCTTTGCTTTACACTTGTCGCACTTAGGCTTCGACACTTGTCCCGCATAGCCTACTATTTTAGCCTAGTGTAGTTGACATCCCCCAACTACTAGGATCATGTAGATCATGCAAATAATAATGGAAACATGACCCAAAAAATGTGGTAACAAAATCTGCCAGCTTTTAGCAAAATCCAACTACTGCCCATGTGTGTAACATATGCCGTGTAACTGCCTTTGACTTGGTCAATCTGAAGCTTGTTGTCCATGTGCGTGCCTTGGCTTGAATCAAGCGCCAATGCCTTGTACTCAGGTGCATTGTAGTCACATTTTGCCCATGTCATTGCCCACGCACATGGACCTTTGTCGCGCCCCATTGTCATGATAAGTCTGCCTCGCACACATGCCTTCGTTGCACTTAGCCTGCCTTTGCCCACTTCGTTTTTACCTTGCCTTGGCATCACTGCCTCATGCCTGGATGCCTTTGTCATGATCAAGTGTCACCCTCAACCCGCATCTCATTGTCAAGCCCTTGCCAAGCTGCCCTGCCTCCCTCAAAGCCTTAGCCATCACTTGCCCGTTTTCCTTTTTGCCTTGGTGCTACTCATGCACCTTAGCTTGGAAACACTCTTGGTGCCCCATGACAACGCTCTCGTTGTCAAGTCAGGCAGAGCCCTAACAGTAGGATACATCGGGGTATTTTATGGATAAATTATTCTATCTTTTATATAGGGTAGCTAATCCAATCATCTTAGTATAAAATCATTTCGTGATTAGATAATATATAAGGAGCTCTAACTTCTTATGCCCCCTTATCATTTATTATCCTTAACCGTATTAGTAGCAAAATGAATAAAAGAAAATAATTATTCACCCATATTATCCATTAAAAAATGAGTTGGATGATGAAATTTTTAAAAATGGATTAAATATGGATAAGAGCCATATGATCCATTTAGAAAATAGATAATTAATGGATAACTAATGTGTTTAACTTGTACATTTATAAAACCTCAAATGAGAGTTTATTCAAGTTTGGGAGACTAGAAATTCTCCAAAAAGTGATCATATTCAATAAGCCATGAATTATCTGCCGCGTTAACCTATTTTTTATCCGTATGAAATATGAGTCGGGTCGAATAATTTATCCGTTTTGCATTACCCGTTTACGACCCGTCTTATACCCGTTTGCCACCCCTGGTTAACCGCTTCTTTCTTTATAATCGACAGGAGCCCTAACTTGATATGCACGTCCAAAATTCATTGGCCCTAACCTGCGAAAACAATGTCAACCATTTCGTTGGATTTAGTAGCCGATTGACTGTGTCTTATGTTTCAGGTGCGTCTCAAAATCTTGGTGTGCTCTTATTGATAGTCCCGAGTTTGCAAAATTGCATCTAAAACATTCGCCCAAAACCAACTCTAACTTTTGGCTTCTCCTTAGACAGACCGAGTATTTTGGATATAAAAAGCGTTGTTTCTACCCTCTAAATATTGATTCTCTCAACTCTCGAGTTGTTACCCCCAGAGAATTGACCAACCCTTTGAGGTCTAGTGAATTTGATACAAAGATAATTGGTTCTTGCAATGGGTTGCTGTTGATATCAAATACTGTGGATGAAATTGCCATATGGAACCCATCTACTGGAAAATACAAGAAATTACCAGTACTGAGTGTTGATAGAGAAGAAGATGGTCATATTAGATTTGGTTTTGGATATGATGTTGTCAATAATGACTATAAGGTTGTTAGAATTGTGCAGTTTGTTGGTACTGAAAAGGGTTCTCTTTGCTCTGATGTTAGGGTTTATAGTTTGAAATCAAATTCTTGGAAAGGGATTGATAAGGAATTTCCTTATTATGTACGAAATAAGGAGGAACCAGGTGCATATTTAAATGGTGCATTGCATTGGGTTGTTAGTAGTGAGATAAAGATACCATTGCAACAACTGATTGTTGCGTTTGATCTTGAAACTGACATGTGTCGGATTGTACCGCATCCCCCATATACTAATGAAAGGTTCAGCGTGAAGTTGGAGGTGTTGGGAGGCTGCCTTTGCACATTTCACTCCTTTTGGGATGATTTTTTTTTATGACGAATGGGGGAATTTGGATCGAGGTTTGGACCATATGGACATATGGGCAATGAAGGAATATGGAGTTAAGGACTGGTGGACTAAGATTATGTCAATTGAACGGCCAGATAAGGATATTGGACGTCTTTTTGTCCCACTCGCATATTCTAACAGTGGAGAGGAAGTTCTGCTGGAACAAGATAATAAACGGTTTGTATGGACAAGTATTAAGAATGGAAACACAAAGATTGTTGATACTCAATTTGGCATATTACACGGCTTTCTACACTTCAATAGTTATGTCTATTTGGGAAGCCTGGTTGAGCTCGGTTCCAGTGATGACACAAGTTACCTGAAGAAGAAACAGTTCAGTCAAGATAAAGGAGGACAAAGGAAAACCTTAAGAAAGAGGTCAATTATTTGGTTGATTTGTGGCTATGTTTTATCCCTCTTTCTTTTAGCAATTTGACAGTTATATGCATTAGTATATCTTTTACAATTAGAGCTTTAGGATCAGTTCCCTGTTGTTCACATTTAGGTGAAGTAGCTAGACTGATTCTATATGACTTTCTTTAGTATATTGTGGATATTTGTTTAGTTTTCTTTTCACTTCTCTTTTTCTTACACACACACACACACACATTCATGCAATTTAGGGAGATTTAGTTATAAACTTTGTGCGTTTCCTATACTCTTTTCTTTCATAGCTAAATGTCTGTTTTATCTTTTATTTATCAGAGGAGATGATTTCCTTTCAAAGGGATTCAAGCTGAAGCTTTGAGCTATATGTAAGGTGAAGATTTTGACAGGCAAGGTATCTTCTGTTTTTTGCTATATAAACAATCACTTGGTACGAATGACACGGAGGCTCTATGTAATGTAATTACTTCCTCACTTCTTTTATGAAATTGTCTTGGTCAATTTCCGGTTAGTAGTCGTTGCTCTTGATGATGTAAGTTACTATGTTATGTGATTTTGTGTCACGCCTCAAACCTTGGAGGAGCACGGGACACAACACCTGGTGCCTTTAACTTGTGACCGAGTGACCAATATTTCGTTCATTCTTAGACTTAGACTATGCATGCTCCATGACAAAAGAAAATTCTCAAAAGAATTTGGAACCATAAATTTTCGGCATAATAGCTCGTAAATCTTTCGAAAACTTGGTACTTGATTAGTATTAGGCATCAACAAGTAAGCCGATGAAATGATGGGAATCAGTTATAACTTAGTACTTGATTGGTGCAGTACTCTAGTTTTTTACCAATTGTGCTTGTGGATTTGGGTCATAATTATGTCATATGTGCTCATCTACTTCCCAAAAGGAAAATTTAGGTCCACATTTAAGAGTACCTGAATGAGTTTCTGTTTTGGCAGGATGTGTGGCGTTTTAAGCATTGAAAACAGTTTTGTGATTGGTATTTTCATCAGGGAATTTTTTTGTGATTGGTATTTTTATCTGGGAATTTGAAACAACATAGAAGCGGGAAGATGGAGAGTAGTGCATTTCCTCTTTTACTCTAACCTCCGCTCTCTCTATCTCCTCTCATCTCTTTTCTCGAGTCTTGTAAAGAGTAGAGACTCAACTTTTGGCATCTGCATATAGTTTATGTAAAACTAAACACTGATGCAAAGACTTTGATGGAGTTTATTGCTGTGTTTTTTTCTTTCTTTTGGGATATGCTTATATAAATTTCTAGCCTTTTAATGTAAATTTCTTGCATTTTTGGTTAGCTAAAGTATTACAAGGTGACCGAAGCTATTAAGATGATCTTAACGTATATTTTGTCAAAAGTGAGTGTGATGTCATTATTGACAAATCTGCTAGTAGTTATCATTGTCCAAAAATACTCCTTCTTGAGTTGAATTTTATCGTTTTTGCTCTTTTCCCAATGCTCCTGCAAGTAAGCCCTTTTTATCAGTTTTCGGGAATACCTTTAAGTATTTTTGAGATAAAACTAAAGTAAAAGAGTGCAAATAAGTAGTCAAAATCCCTACTTATCAGTTACGACATCCTAGTGAGGAAACTTTAGGTTGTGACAAGTTGGTATCAGAGCCCTAGGTTCATAGGTGCTATGAGTCATAAGCAAGTTTAGTAGAGTCTTGCGGATCGTTACGGAGACGTCTGTTCTTATCTTCGAGAGGCTACAGAATTATTAGGATAGTTTCACTTCCTTCATTCCTATCGTGCGAGTTTATTGATCTCAGAGTTTGAACCCTTGTCATTCCATTCTCCCACAAGTGATGAGGACACGAGCTGTAGTTACCGATGACGCTGCCCCCAGAGCCGATGTTGCTAGGGGACGGGGCAGAGGCAGAGGCCGAGGAGGAGAACATACTAAAGCTAGAGCTCCTATAAAAGCAGCTATTGAGGAGCCTCTAGTAGCTCCTGTTGTGGGACATGTATCAGAGGCACCTGTTGTGACCCCAAGACTTCAGGATACTTTAGCACAGTTCCTGAGCATGTTTGGTATATTGGCTCGGGCGGGGTTGATTCCGGTTGCACCAGCTACTTCACAGATCGGGGTAGGAGCTCAGATTCCCGTTGCCCATAGTCCAGAGCAACTAGTCCACATTGGTCAGGTTCCAGGTGTCATGCCGACACAACATGTTACCCCAGTTCAGCATGTGGTTAGGGCAACAAAATATGAGGAAGAACAACTTAGACTTGCGAGGTTCAAGAAGCATTACCCTCCTACTTTTAGTGGTTTGGCTTCAGAGGATGCGCATGGGTTCCTAGGGGAATGCTACCATATTCTCCGCATTATGGGTATTATGGAGACGAGTGGGGTTGCTTTTACTACGGTCCAGCTTAAGGGAGCGGCATATTAGTGGTGACGAGTGTATGAGTTGGGTAGTGCGGCCGATACAACTTCACTTTCATGGGTTCAATTTTCAGGGATGTTCTTGAGAGAGTTTGTTCCCCAGACCCTTCGGGATGCATGGCGCATGGAGTTTGAGCAACTGCGCCAGGGCACTATGTCGGTGTCAGAGTATGCCATTAGATTTAGTGATTTGTCCAGACATGTACATGTTTTGGTTTCTACAGTCAGAGAGCGAGTTCGCATGTTCATTGGGGGGATCGATCATGATATCCGGTTCAGCGTGGCTAGGGAGTTGGAGTCGGGTGTTTCATTTCAGCAGGTAGTAGAGATCGCCCCCGACTAGAGGACATACGGGGTCAGGAGAGAGAGAGAGAGCAAGGAGGCTAAGAGGCCTTGTAGGACGGAGGGATCTATTAGTCCCTATTTTGGAGGTAGAGTACGGCATGTAGAGGTTTTGTGGGTCAATCAGTTCAGTTGCATTTCAGACTTCGCACGGTGTTCCAAGTACCCATGGGTCTCAGGGTACCTATACTGGACAACTTCCACAACCATGTCAGTAGAGAGGTTTCTTTGAGTGTGGAGATACCATCCATATGGTGAGAGGTTGTCCCAGACTCCGGACAGATAAGTCACAGCAAGGGAATTTAAGCTATGGGTTCTGCTCCAGTTGCTGATATTCCTGCAACGCTAGCTTGGGGTACAATCAGGCGAGTAAAGGGCGCCCAAGAGGGGGGGCCCGACTCGTTGATTTGCTTTCAATGGTAGGGCTGAGGCCGCTACACCAGATAATGTCGTACAGATATGGTTTCGACTTGTTATAGGGGAGCATCATTCGTATTTTGGTTCCGGTTCTGCTTATCGGGGAAAGTCCTTCTATTTTACTTCACATATGGGTGAGTTTCGTGATTTTGTACTCTATTTATGTGTTTACCCCTGTTGGGAGATTCTATAGTGGTGGCCCGTGTCTATCGTTTTGTTTTTATTCATTATTGAGAGTTATGAGACTAGAATTGACTTTCTGTTACCCAGTACGGTAGGTTTTGATGCAATTTCTGAGTGTTTGGTTACGATTTGTGATTTAGATGCTCTACTAGGGTGGGAGATCAGTATTTAGCGGAATTGAACTAGTGGAAGGTTTTGGTTGGTATGATGTGCATTCTACTTGCAATTCGGAGCTGAGCATGGGATTCTCGCTTCTTCATGCGATTTGATATGTTTGAACCGAGCTACGGTCCGTGGTGGAGTTATATCAGGATGAGATCCTTGTGATTTATTCATATGCTTCGATTCCCCCTTTGTGAAATTGATTCGTAGTCTGATATTGATAAGGAGGGGTGCTTGTCGGGCTTGTTTGATAGTTCTCTTATGTGTTTCTCCCTACATATTATATTCAGTCATATTCGTGATGTGCTTATTGAGCTTTAGCTTGCGAGGTGTGTGCCCCGGTGGCGTTGGATGTGACTTGTTGATTCGGGTGAATAGTTATGAGGTCTTCATGTTTCTTGCATCCTTGTCATTATTGTGAAGGTTTGAACCAGGGTTCTAACGGATATGAGGCTAATTGCCGGTACTAGATTTGATTATGGGCAGCTACTGTGGCTGGAGTTGTTGTTTAGGGCATGTGTGTGATGTGTTATGTCGTGTGGCTGTACGTTGTGGGTGTAGGCATAAGTTGTTGCAGCGGTTAAGGTTGATACCGTGTGTTGATGCGGGAATCGGGTCCTTGGAGAATGATTGAATGGTGAAAATGTTGGTTCTAAGGTCATCAGTGTGGGTGAAAGGGATAAATTTAAGTTGAGATGGTGTTGTCGGGCCTATGTGGATTGGGGTGACGTGGGATCACCCGTGGGTGTATGTATGGTAGTTTACTCAGTGATTTGATGACTTCAGAATGGGTCTTGACCAGTATTTTACAAGGCGTTTTCGGGGCGAGCCCTGGGGTGAGGCGCACCAAAAACGCCCCGAGGCGATGGTGTGGGGCGAAAGTGTCAAGAGGCGTACACCCAGCAATTCGGGACGTATGCCCGGGTGTTTGAGGTGCATTTTTTTATTGAGGCGTAAGTCCCAGATACTTTTTCAAATTAAAACAAAATTTGTTGAATAAGTCCTTCATATAATACCCAAATTCTCCAAAGTCAGATTGGTAATTACTCAAAAGGTTTAAAAAGGAACTCAAATGTGTTAAATTTAAAAGTCAAGACCTTTTTTATTGATTGAAGTCCTAATTCATGGTCTTTCCCAATTCCTTATCTTCTCCGCTAGTTTGCTAATATCTCCTAAAAGCAACAATTGTTTTTTAAAAATACAAAGAGAACTCCACTCACCTTCATAGCAGCAAATTCAAAGTTTAAATTGCATGTTAGTCATCCTTTTTGTTCCTCCATGTAGAAAACTTTATTCTTTTAGACTCAAGNATACCTATGGGGCTTATGCCCCATGCCTCAGGGCTTATGCCTCGCTGAGGCATATGTAAAACGCATCACCTTACGCCCACGCTTTTTAAAACACTTGTCTTGACACGTTCGAGGACGAACGTTTGTTTAAGAGGGGAGAATGTAACGACCCGAACGGTCATTTTGAGAATTAACATCTTGTTCGGTGGCTTAAGGTCTCGAGCAGCTTTGTATTATGTGTTATGACTTGCGTGTGTGGTCGAGTTCGATTTTCGGATGATTTGGGATCAATTTGAAAGAAGGATTCTTGTTTTAGAAGATTAAGCAGTAAGGGTTGACCGAAAATTCATTTTTGTGTAGACGACTCTGAAATGGAGTTTTGATGATTCCAATAGCTTCGTATGGTGATTTTGGACTTAGGCGTGCGTCCAGATTTGGATTTGGAGGTCCGTAGGGTAAGTTGAAGTATTTCGGCAAAAATTAGAAAGTTGAAGTTTTGGATGGTTGAGAGTTTTGACCGAGAGTTGAATTTGGTGATATCGGGGTCGGAATGTGATTCTGAGAGTTAGATTAGCTCTGTTATGTCATTTGGGACTTGCATGCAAATTTTGACGTCGTTCCGGGTTGATTTTATATGTTTCAACGCGAGTTTTGGAAGTTGGAAGATTTGAAAATTCATGAGTTCGATTCGAGGTGCGATTTA